AACGACGCACCTGTAGTCTTCTTTGTTTGAAGTTGGTCGCAGGTTTTTTTTATAGGATAGGGTGAGAAACGAGCACACAGTCCACCTGATGGTAAGTAGTTGCTGTGACCCATAGAATCTATCCTCAATAAAGAATCAAAATGCAGATGAGTTCTCACCCGTGAGGACTAAGATGGAATGCCTCTTTTCCAGTAAAAAGGGTCTCCGGTTGTCTACACTCATCATCCGAAACACAGCAGCGTTAAGCCATTTTACGCTGGTATTCTGTGAGAGCGTGGTACTTCCCCGGTTGAGCCGACCCATTCGTGCCACAACTATATAGCTGCAGCATGACTCTACCACATAATATTCGTATGTCCGTGGACTGCAGTAGCCACTTACCATTAAATTGACTAGGAGTTCGTTAGCCGCTTCCCTTTCAGCAAGAACTCTACGCAGCGCTCCGTCTATCTGTCTTTGTTGATCTGTGGAACGGGTCGGTTCGTCTGTGGAAGGATATCTTAGAAAATATCAGCTTAAATTAATAGTAGTGTAATGTTACTGTGTTTCGAAATGTACTTAAAATAATCAATCTTAGTGACGATCTGCGTATTGGATCTTAATCAAGAATAGCGACACCTATTGAGTTTGGTTTGCAACATCGTAACGTACTGTTATCTGGACTGTGTAAAAAAATACACACGGTTCCTTTACAAGCCAATTGGCATAACTTTTACGTACATTACAAATTTTAAATTCAATGGTCCATCGTTATGTTAAAACTTGCGTAAACTTAGACATAGTTTCAATCTAATGAAAATTTGCAAACAATCTTTATAGCTGAAAAAACAAACACTTTACATAATACTTTAATGCAAAGTGCGTACATCTTTAGAAGGAAGTAATTTCGTTCTCGTTCATACGTACGTCCAGTATTTTCCGCGTAATTATAATTTAAAAATTTCAAAAATAATATAATTTCAAAATTTGAATAGGTACCTACCCTCCTCTATGCTAACTGTAAGGAGTTGTGCGAGCATAAGTAATCACATAACAGAGTTTGAACATGACAACGCTAATTAACACTTGACATCGTGTCTTAAAATGTAAATATAACGGATGTTAATAATGACTTGATTTCAGAAATATTATCACCCAATTATACTACACTTTTTTTTTTTTAGATTATCCACCTGTAACTGTTCACTGCTGCAATAGAGCCTCTCCTACTGTGGCAAGGATTCGCTGTAATTGGAAGCAGGCGAATGAACAAATAAAAATATTAAGTGTCATCAAATGACATGACATATTTATCTAATTATTTAATGAGCAATCCGAGCTGATTTAATTTTTTTTAATACGAGTAATGCTATTAGACATTACTAATATTCCCTTTAATCACTTCTGGTAAGCTTAAAATGCTTGTGTTAAAAGTTGTTCACGACAGTAGTCGCATGGCAGATTCGAACCCACGACCTTTCGAGTTCGCGGTCTGCGTCCTGCCATTAGGCTACTGACGCTTCTATCACAGTGGTGTGTATTATTTACAAAATGATTGGCTTCTTAAATTAGCATGCTCGATATCAGTGGGAACAGTTGGCAACGTCATAACCATGGCATAATTGTTACTTATTAAGCAATTTTTGCTCTTGGTCGGCGGATGGCTGGGACATGTTACCACTTTATAACTCGGCACATACAAACCATTAAGTTGTACGTAGACATATGTCTTCCGCATACACCGGTTATGGTACTATAATCCTTAAAAGGTCCTCCATTTCGCATGCAAAGTACGTAACGTGATGACCATTGCAAATTAAAGTATTTATTTTCCTGTTTAATTTTTTAATTTAATTTTCTCAAAGGTGTACAGTGTATGGATTGTAGAATGCATTTGGAATCATAATTGTTTTTTATTTGAAACGAGCAGCCTATTTAAATATTATGTGTGGGAAACTAAATTTTAGGATCTAATTAAAATTCTCGGACTGTTGCAAATTTTTATTGTCAACGTTTGTGTTGTAACTTAGATGTCAGTTTTGCATAACGTTAAATATGAATATTAAATTATAGAATTATGTGCCTGCGCTGTGCCATTCTGTCTGTATTCATGGGCGACATCCTTACAAATTAAGTTTGATTTTGGATCTAAAATTTTGTTTATAAAATTATAATTAAGTAAGCATTTAGTCAGATTTTCATTAAAATATAATAGTTTTTAAGTAACACAGTCACGAAGATTTGTAATTTTCGATCAAAAAGGTCCACAGTTTTGTACTAGACGTTGAAGACAATAAGGCATTTTAGAACTATTTGCGAAACCACAGACGCAATACTTTTAAAAACTTACGCCACTTGGACAGGGGACACTTCTCTATTTGAGTAGCTGCACCAGTACTTACAAACTTGTGTTCATTTTAATAAATAGAACAGATTAATGAATATATTTCTAGAATATTTTTCGCAATCATTACTCAATGCTTGACTAGTATATTTCAAAACTCCAACACATTTAACATTTTATTGTGCTTTAAAAGGTACAAACTAACGGTGTTAATGACAGGAACGCGAAGGCTTTGCATTGACCTAATTTCGTTGCAGTTAAATCAGTCGCCGAGAGAGCTGATGTTAATGCATTTTATATTGGTTCAATTGGGAGGAGCGACGGCGCGGTATGCGCTCGATGTGTGGGCGATTCGCGGGAACGCATTAGGGGCAGCGCGAATTGGCACGCACTTGGTACTCTCGCACTTCGTATAATTCAGTGTCAAAAGAGACCGGATCGTTTAGCTTAATTGGTTAATAACGTTTTGGGTAGTTACGTTTAGCTGAGTTTTTATATGATAGGTCCATAAGAAAACTAAAAGAGGGAGAGATATAATAACTTGAATTAAAAATATCAAAAACAAAAAGAGCTGGTGTTGTTCTAACGGCTGAACAGATTTTCTTGAAACATAGCTAAGAACACTCTTGATTAATACACCTTTCTAATGAAAAACAATTAACCAAAATCGGTTCATCGGTTCAAGAGCTATGATACCACAGACACATACACAAAAACACAGAGATACACACACGCTACTAACATATAACACCCCTCTTTTTCATCGGGGGCTTAAAAGAGATTTCAAATTGTTAGAAACGATGTTACACTGTACAAATGAAAATGTTCCTAATTTGTAGATATTTATTCATAAGCCTAATCTGACTGTCTATGAAAAATTACTTTCGTTGACTCTTAATGCCCAAGTCTAATAAGAGCAGGTCATACGCACGGGCTGGTCGGCGCAGTCGCAATGCAATCGTGCGTTTAGAGCCACATGCCGACGCCAAGTTCCCTGGAAGGCGATGAATAACTCATTGTCCGTCCGTCCGTCCGTCCGTTGTGACGCACGTTTCTCGGAAACCAACGACGCAACACAGAAAGTGACCGAGATAGTTGACCCACGAGATGCATGAAACTTACGAAATCAGAATTTGGAGCTTTAGCTTTCAGTTTCGGGTTCGGGTCGGTTCATGTGTGAAAATCTCTCATTTCAATGCGGTTTTTTTGTTTTTTTTTTTCCTCCTAAATTCATTTGAATAAAGAGCAAAGATATAAAAGAAAGAAACATTTTCAATAATTGTTTTTTTTTATGGTTTTATCCAGACCAATTTCAAAACAGATTATCCTATTTGGTTCCAAAAAATCAGCTATCATGTTTGCCATGAATAAATATTATGTGACCTAACCTGATAATATGTAACTACAGGAATTCGTAAAATTTAAGCTATAATATTACAATTATAGTAAAATATGAAAGTGGGATACACATCATATTTTGAAAGTATTTAAAAGTCCATAGCTGAACATTGGTCACAAATTTCTCATAGGGGGATATTTGTTGTATATTGGTTGGTAGTCGCAGGTTTTTTGTTATCAAGAGAAGACGTCCATCTACTGTTTCATTACCCCTGTCGCCTCCTACAGTACCCACGGTAGTGGATAATTACATCGACGCTACGGTCAAACTACGATACTTTTTCGATCTTCACTATTTAAAAAATAACGGTCACGAAAGTCAGATTTCTATTAAACAAACATGCACAGTTCGCAGTTTATACGTTCGAGTGAACCCAACGTTTGAGTGATATAATGTCTAATAAAATAAAGTGCTTTAGCATTGGAGTCACGGCGTATTTAGCGTAGATTATGAACTAAAACCATAAAACTTGGAATATAAAATGGTGCACATCGCGCACGTCGAAATTCAAATCGGTCGCCGCAATTCCCACCAAAAGAGAACGAATGCACTAGCGAAGTGCATCGTTCTAATTAGGATGCGAGTGCTGTACGCTTCACGCATGTCGGCATCGGTCACCAAACAGCTGAATATTCGCACACGACTATTGTGATACCAGTTTATGGTCTCGGCTTGCCTTTATACTCCTTAGTTAGCATTCCAAATTGGTAACACAAACGTTTTTTTTTCATACCGCTTAGTGTCATGTCATAGCAATAAAGAAGGAGCACGTCCACTCACAAAAGTTGTGAGTCAAGAAACTGTTACGATTGTTAACCTCACGAGTGTAATTGTCTCTCAATTACCATGGTATTAAAATTTTTGATAGGTGCAAAATTATTATTAAATATTTCTGAAACCGCACTAAAATGTTTTTAGGTTTTCGTTTTCAGTAAATTTAATTTATTTATTTTATACCAATCTCTTAAGCACAACAGTGTGTTCAGAGTGTTGAGAATGTCAGAAAAAAAAATAAAAAAATATTTCGAGAACATGTGCAGGCCGCCAACATGGATTCGGGTGGCGCGTCAGAATATTCCTGTGCTCCAAAACCCTACAAGTAATGGGGGGAGATTTGGGCCCAGTTGGCATGTAGACTGTTACTTTTTTACACTCTTCTCGGGGCCATCACAGAAATCGTATTAATAGTAATAATATTCATTTGGTCATAACGTTTGTAATTATCAATCTCAAGTATTTGGATTATGCTGTTATCAATTATAAAATTCATTGTCGCAGGTTAACCGGCCATTGACAATGAAAAAGGAGGGGATCCAAACACGAAATCGGAAGCTAAGCAGTAAAAGTAAAAAGAAGAAGGGTGGAATGGGTATGGGTGGCGGTGGTGCCTGTGCACTGGCTCTTGGTGGCGTCATGGGAGATATGATCAAGCCACTAGGAGATGCTACCAAGGGGTTCGGTGGTTCTGCATTCCCTTCAGCAATGGACTTTGGTACGTTTAAAATGTCTTTTATTTTTATCATCAGGTCATAACAGTCTAGAGCTGGATAAAGTTTCTCTCATAAGAAGAATGGCTGGAACCGTTTACGCGCTTCTTGTTGTTTTTTTTTTTCATTAACACTTTCACTGTCCGGTTATTAGACACAATAATAAGACAATAGCAATGACCTATATGTAGTACACGGGTCAACAAAAGGGTTAATAAATAATGTCGTTCAAGGCAAATTTCGGTCAGTCCCAACGGAAGCTAGCCATGTGCGCCGGACAGGATCATGGTGCAAGAGTGTGTGCGCAAGCACAGGTGCACTCTGTATTCCCTCACCCTCACAGTCCGATGAGACTGTAATATGAAACGACTGGAGGGAGATCAGGCGCAGAACTGACGGCTTTTGCCTTTCGAAGCACGAGATGAAACACCGCCAACTTCGTGACTTCGGACTGTTAGTGAGAATTCTTTGATAGAAAAACCTAAAAACTAATTTTGGCCCCATCCGGGACTCGAATCCGGGAACACTATACTCTTACGACCACTAGACGAACAAGACAGTCATGAGATGTTCAAGGCTTTTTATAGCCAGCCATATTACGGTTGTAGCACGAATGGGTCAGCTTGAACGGGGAAGAACTACGCTCTCACTGAACACTGTGTTCCGTGTGCTGAGTGTAGAAAACCGGATACACTTTTACTGAAAACGAAGTATTTCATCTTAGTCCTCAGGGGATATATCTATAGGCCACAGCATCCACTTACTCAGGTGAACTATGTGCTCGTTGTAACACTTAGTCTTTAAAAATATCTTCTCTTTAGACACCCGTGGGAGAAAATGAACATAATTGATTATCTAACCCCGACACCACACGTCAGTGGTATATAAAGTTAAATAAAATGTAATTCAGACAATAACTGCACTGTTATGTATTTAAGTAGTAAAATATGAAGAATGTTTGACTGTTCTAACTGAAAAATAGCAGTGGATAGCGTACTGTTGCATGGCGACAGAAACAGGTGAGAGGGGGTTGCCAACACGGGCGGACTTGGCAACACGGGCGGACTTTTGGACTACAGAATTTTTTAGTGAAACTTTTTTTAAGGCCTTGAAAAGGTTAACATAAATTCGTAATCGATTACTCCGTCACCGTTGCAGCCTATCAAAAGTCCACTTCTGAACATAGGTCTTCCCCATAGATTGCCTCATAAGGTTGCCATAGTTGCAACGCTTGGGAGGCGGGTTGGCAACCCGAGTTTTTTATTTATTATTGCTGTTAAAAGAAGCACCTGCCCATCTTCTGGTTTGTTTCCTTTGTGGCCTCTTACGACAGCCACGGGATGGTATGGGGTAGTGGATCTAACAACCATCATTACGCGGTGGAATCGAATACTCATTTAATAGTTATTTGGTTTTGTTGTATAGGGCAACACCAAGTGGGGTTGGTGCATCCAGCAGCGGCGCACATGTCGCACTGGTACGGCGCACCGCACCAGGGCTTTGCACCACCGCCCGCCTCGCACAACCCGTACCACCACCACCACCTCGCGCAACTTAATTCTATGGTAAGTGATAACATTCTTTAATAAAACTTCTTTATTAAAACGTCATCCTAGATTTCATTATGTATTGCTATTCGATTCACATAGATACCTACATAAACTGCACAAGAATATATATCTAGATCATACCAACAATTGCTATGCAATATTTTTTCCGTGCGGGCTTCGTATCCAATCGCAAACACAATCCTTTCGCCCTCTTCTAAACGCTTAGTACGAGTAAATGCGCTACCGAAACGTCAACTTTCACGTGTAAATGTTTTCTGATAGTTTATAATTTGGATAGTTAGGGCAAGTTTTTATCTACAATAATATAATGAAGTTTTAGATTAACTATCCTATCTGATGGTAAGGGGTGATGATCGAAGATAGTAAGCGCGCTGGTTAGTTTAACAGAAATTTATTCGCTGTTGTTTAATTATAAATTATTTTAGCTTTCAGTTTGTATTATTGCGTCAACGACCGCGTAACCTAGCGGTCAGTGGCCTGCCTGCTACATTGGAGCCAACATTTATGCAAAAAAATAAATTGTTGGTTTCGGGTATAGTTGTATTTTTATTGTACCTGTGTCTCCGACACTGCTGCTTAATCTATCTCTGATCATATCGCATAAGCGAGCGTTACATCTTGCACAGATAAGTAAGGACCGTTTCTATGTTGGTGTTGCAATGTGTTTCCCTGCAGTTCATAGCTTCCATCAATAGTCGGCAATTCTCGTCGTAGTCGAAATCGGCTATCACCGTTATAATTTCGTCTATTCCTATGTTTGACTTTGCACTCAAATATTTCTTAGGAATTATTACGAATTATGGACTGCTTTCATCCAACGATTACCAGGAACAAGGTTAAAATATAAATTATTTGTTTTCGAGTCTCGAATTTGATATACTTTTTATCGATATGTGGCACTATAGGAAAACTCTTTCTCTAATGAGTATTGTGTAATGTATTCGTTGAACCTTACACTATACTATTTTTAAAACATAGTACCCTGTGCGACAGTAGTTGCCACAATGGCCGTGCCCGTTTAAATTTTATTTTAATCTATGTTCTTCTTTTCAGACTGGCTGGAGGAGTGAGTACACGTGATAAGTCAACCATAGACAAGAGCCTAATAATTCGATAAGTCGACATAAATAACGTACGTCACGAGACCGTCCCGGCTGTTTGCCGGTTACCTACATAGAGAGAAACAAGACATCACAAAATAGACACTGTGATTTCATTTAGTGTTGATTGATTACTGAATTATAGTACGTAACTTAATCACAATACGACCTTTGTCACATCACCTTAATTTTATAAGACTGTTAACTGAATTGATGTTTGTAACTACACAAACGCACACGATTTAATTCGAGTCTCCCGTGATATAGACTTTCGTTTTGATTGTGTTGATCAAGATCTATTGCGAATATCCCGCTGAGACTTTGATATACTTCAGTTCCCAATAAGTATTAATTTAAGAGCGTTTTACATGAAAGTAACTAGCGAAATTGTACAGTATTATAATGTAATTTAGGGTCGTTTAATATGTCCGTTTAGATGATTTATATATATACGAGTAAGTAGGTATTGTTAAAACGAGAACAATTTGTGTATTTTGTACATACATATCTTATTAAGTTATATACCGTTCCTGTATAGATTGTTTTTTCTTTTTTTTTGTATTTAATTTCAAACTGTGCGGATCGCTATGGGAATTGTGATGTGTTCAAATAATTATTCCACAGTTTTTGATGTACATTTAATTTGTGTAGTGTTTATTAAATGAAATGCAATAGTAATTTATATAATAGTTATAAATCATACAATTTGTAAATAATTATATTGAGTCTATACAAAAATGACATATTATGAATGTCCTTCAAGTTTAAATTATTAAAGCAGGTCACTATATTGGTTTTAACGTTGCGTTGATACGATACATCTGAATGTTGTTTTGTAAAAAAAAAAACATAGTAATATTTTTATCGCTGTACCTTTGTAAATTTAAGATATTATCATGTGGCCATAAACTGGTGGGATATTATTTGGGGAGGCAGTAAAAGTCGCATTGACATAATCTGCGATGTATAAGATTTTAATAAAAGCATTTTACTATATCCTCAAACAAAATCCCGGAACACCGAAATGTACATATAAAATGTAAATCTCTTGTAGAAAATAAACATAAAAAAATTAATTTGTAAATTAGTGATCACTTGCAGAACAACCTATAACGACATCCCGTACCTAAAGTTTTAGTTTATAAAAATGAAACATTGTGAAGTTGTGTATTTTAAATAAAATTGAGAATAAATTATCAATACTTATTGATATTTAATACAAAGTCTTTATTTTTATATCAAACCCCCAAGTTGAATGGCACTAATATTAAAATAAATAGTTAAAACAAATTTATCCTAGTGTAATGAATATTAATGTTTATTTACAAGGAAATACAAACGTCGATTAAATTAGTTATCTGTTACCTATATATGATGCAGGCAAAGCTTCTTAAACAGCTATTATGTTACAGTAAACTGCGGACCCTAAAGTTTAGTTCGTTGTATTAGAAATTGATTGAATTGACCATTCACTGGCCATCTCTATCCGCCGTAAGTCACCGGATCAATTCCGCCATTCCGCAGAAAAAGTCGTCCAAAATTCGCGCTTATCTCGCGGCAAATTGAAAATGCAGCCGGCCGTGTGATTGTGACGCAACGGGCTCGCTGCCGACGACATATGGACCTATTCAATTTTAATCGTATTTCAGAAGAAAGGACATCGGATAAAGTACCTATAAAACGCTCCCCGTACGCCACGATAGAGCCCAGTTAATAAGCTGGTTTTATTTGCGGTTTTGGGTTTTGAGGGTTGCTCATTGTTGACAAACAATTAATGTTTGGGATTGATCTTTTTAAATTGCATGAAGATTTCGTTACTCTATGCGTTTACGCTTCGATGGGGAGACGTTGATATTCTTTGGCAAGTTTCTTTTCAAAATATCTGCCTCGGACATGAAAGGCTTTTGAAAAGATAACTAAGAACCGATCCGATTCGATGAATTAGCAGAAGTAATAAATAAAAAAATAATGTAGCATTTCCTGTTGATTTAAAATGAGCGCAAAATGTGTGGATTGTATTTTTAGCTTTTTAGCGGCAGTCTACAGGCAGAGTCGCATAAGTCACTACGTAAGAACCGGTGATATACGGGCCGCTAGCGCGGGAAAAAATGTCGCGCTACAAAAAGCGCGCCATCACTCTGTGCAATTTATTGCGCGCGGCAACACCTCCGAGTATGCGAGGCTTACAACACCGAGGGCGAATATTCTTACACCTACCCGCACGGGAATGCGCATACCCCCTGATGTGACGGAACTTTGCACTTCGTTAAATTACGACTGCAAAGAGGCTGTATTTCGTTATGTTGGTACAGTCGAGAACATTAATAAGTCGCCTTGTTATTTACGTATGAACTTCCTTGCAGCAGTTGGTCCCTGAAAAGGATTTAAATATTTTGATGGAAATATTTATAAAAGTAAGGTAAATTTAACAAAATAAAAAATAAAATATTTTTTAATAATATCTTTCAGGAAGTCGATGGATGCAATTGGCTTAGGACTGTGTTTATGGTGTTACTTGGGGATGGCCTTAGTTCAGAATTAGACTTGCGATGGGCTGTAGCGATGATGATAATGATACGAAATAACAAGTAAAAAGTTCAACAGCTGGGCAAGGGCATCCTCTCATTTTTGAGAGAGTGAATCTCTACCAACGAATCAATGTAGGTTGTCGGGGCAGTTGCGTAATATACTTTCAAATTCGGTAAATATTTAAAAATACCTTCTTTTTTCATAGTCATAGATCGTAAGTGGTTTCTGTGACCCATAGACATCTACATCTATCCTCAATAAAGAACCAAAATGCAGACGCGTTGTCACCCGTGACGACTAAGATGGAATGCCTCCTTTCCAGTAAAAAGGGTCTCCAGTTCTCTACACTAACCATACGAAACACAGCAGTGTTAAGCTGCTATTTTACGCTGATATTCTGTGAGAAAGTGGTCGTTCCCTGGTCGAGCCGACCCATTTGTGCTACCACTATGTATACTACTAATATAGTTGCAGCATGGCTCTACCACGTATACCACGTTCGCTCTACCTCATCCTCAATTATCCGCAACTGCCCACTATTAGATACTGGACTCACCCAATGTATGGAGGATTTGCTTTAATTAGTGCTTGTGGCAGTGGTTTTTGAAGCCTTTGACACAGTTCACCGTCGCCGGCTAGGGGAATTTGTCATTATCAATGAGATCGGCCCTACCGCTATCTATTGGTAATCATGAGGTCTTTCTAACATCTCTCATAGTCCCCTATTACCAATCCCTTCAAAGCGAAATAACGTGATGGATCCATGGGAGTATGAAGCATTAGCCAGCAAAAAATATACTTAATAGAAAATAATAATTTATTAATTAATAATGTTAAGCAAATATAAAAATAAACATAAACATATAAAAACTCATGCATGTTACCGAAAAGGGTAAGATGAGATTACAGGCTTCTGGTTCTTGCATGTAGAAAAATAAATCAATTTACTTTATTTACACGTAGGTACTCTAAGATAATAAACACATACAAAGGATATAGAATAGCTTGTCTGTTAGTATGATTGCGTTTACTCGTATACTTAAATTACTACGATCAATCCTGCGTATTTTCAACTCACTTCAAAAAGGAGGAGGTACTCAATTCAACCGTAAATTTTTTTATGTGAGTTACCTCATAACCTTTTTCTCGGTGAACCGAATTCGATGATTCTTTTTTATTTAATAACTGTTGCTTCTCATGTGGTCCCATATGTAATAAGTCCATAATAATTTAATACTTTTTGAGTTATCCTGAATAATTTATATTGAAATCTGTTGTGCAATTTTTTTTTATTTTACCACTTGTTCTTGATATCGTAAGTTATAATTTGGACGAAATGAGTGGTTGGATAAGTCATGCATCTTTTATTAAACGAAGATTCTATAAAAGTTGGTACGTTTCCCTATCTGTTATCTGCACTTGCAGTTATACCATCTGCATATTTGTAAGTAAAGTTTCTTAGTAAAGGAAAGGAATGCTATAGCAGGGGGCTTTAGATTAATACGGGTGATTTCATAAGGATCAACGATTCACTTGCTCTCCTTCCTTCTTTCTTCGGGGTTCGCGGGCTCATCGTCGGTTCTGGAGGAAATACGACCAAACTACGAACTACACCATAATTTACTTCATGTCGATTAATAAAAAGGGCCTCATCTATAGGGCCAGATCCTAAAATTCTGTAATTTACCGTTCTAATAAATAAGTGTTCGCTTATAATGCTAAACACTGTTTTTTTGGTTACGTCACATCAATTAAAAGTAAAAATTAAAAAAAATTAAAAAACTGATAAGCTTTCAAAAATCGAACGACATAAACATACAAAGCGTCGCTGCTTAAATAAATAACTGGCTTAAATCCCGATATAAAAGTGTTCAAGCCTAGCATCACAAATCCCGTAATAAGAGTCATAGAGGGTTGGCGAGTCGTGAGTAAAGTATCGTCCACACTTCACTGGATGCGACTATCCGTCTGATCCGGGAATCAATCTCGGACTTAGTCACGCTTATCTCACTGACCCCGGGCCAGACGAGTGTCACATGAGTTGCTTTCGAATGTTTTAAACTTTTTCAATTGTTTATTCACCCAAACGTCTTATAGAATAAAATAAAAGTGAAATTTACAATAATTAGTTAATACAATAATTAAAAATTAAAAATTTTGTACAGCTGACTTCAATATAAGTTATTAAGAATAACTCAAGTAACTCAAAAACTATTGGTCTGACCTTGATCAAATTCATATGGAACCAGAGGAGACGTATCAGCTTTCATATAAAAAAAAGAATCATCGAAATCGGTTCAACCAGTAAAAAGTTATGAGGTAACACACATAAAAAAAACATACGCGTCGAATTGAGTACCGTCTTCTTTTTGGAAGTCGGCAGAAAATTGTTATTGTGAGAGTATAGGAGACCAAATTGAAGAGTAAACCGAGCTTTATTGTTCCTGTTTG